GAGCCCCACCCTGCTGGTCTGTGCTCCCAGCAGGGCCCAGCAGTGTGCTGGGACGGGGTCCCCTCATCGCAAAAACGGCTGGTGGACTCATAGCACTTCTCCTCCAGGTGACAGACCTGGTCTCTGCGGGCACATTGCGCTTCTTATCTCGGTGTGGCCCGGCATGTCTGTGTGACCAAGTTCTGCATAACGGCAGGGGCTCTGGCCTCTAAGAAGCTTCTTTAGAAGGGCTGGGTCCTTCTCCTTGCCCTGTAGGCTTTCCCCTTTCTGCAGCAGGAACAGGGGTGTGATGGCTGGAGCTTGTGCAGCCCTTCAAGACCACGAGGTAGTGCATGAGGATGGCAGTAGCAGAATAGGAAACAGAAACTCGGTCCCAGTGGTCGGGGAGGGACGTCACTTCCTTCTCTGGGCTTTTCCATGAGAGAGAAGTAACCATGGATGGGGTCGAAGCCACTATCGTGTTGTGTGTTGGAAGCAGCCCACGTCACCTAAGCACATGGCCTGCCTGGGATGATGAAGCCTGTCTCGCCTACGGAGGCCCCGCACCTCGTCTGGGCCAGCTGCAGAGGGCGTGAGTGGGGTAAGGCTGCTTCTGGTGAGCAGGAGGGTCCCCTGAAGACTGTCTTTGCTTCCGGCTGTGCTGTGTCCACTGGGTCTGGTCGTGGGCAGGTGTCCATGATGCCTGTGACCGGATGGGAGGGACGCCCGGACCTAGCGCCTCTGCCCCGGGTGCACATCCCTGCATGCCCCTGCTCGGGGGTCAGCGGATGGACTTCAGCAGGCACGGCCACCGCCAGCAACGCCGCGGGCCTCGGAAAGGGCTCCGGTCCTCCGCGAAGGCCTGGCCAGAGGGACGGACGCCGGAACCAGGAGACTAGTGAGGAGGCGCAGTGGCCGTGCCAGGGACGTGTGGGGACAGCGTTCGTTTGGTTTTGAGAATACGGAGTTCACTCTTACAAGGAAACAATTCCCGGCTTGTCCTGTGCGTGTGGGGAAGGCGCAGGGTGCCACGGTTTCGCTTTCTTCCAGGATGACGGACAGAGAAAGGCGGCTAGGTCCCCTCTGGCTGTTGGTGAGGTCTCGTTCGAGGGCCCGCGTGTGGCCGGGCGTGGGCCTGCTCAACTTGGCCCCCAGTCCTGCAGCTCTGGGGGTCTGCCCTGCCCAGCCTCCTCCGCCCTGCTGACCAAGGGGGGGGTGCCAGGAGCTGTCTCGGACCTTGGGGTGACTCCGGTGGGTCCCTGACATGAGCCTTCCAGCCACCTGGGCACGCAGCAGCGGCGCCGTCCTGTTGAGGCTGTCGTCATCTGGGAGTCTCCTCGCACTCGCGGCGAACCCGTCCTAGCCAGGACAGAGGGAACGTCTGCAGCGACCTCACTGACTCTGCAGAACGCCGGGGAGCAGGACACGCGGCCAGAGTGTCCCCCAGCCCGAGGGGCTTGAGGGCCGGACGGGGGTGTCCTTGCGCGTGGAGGGCAGACTCTCCACGGGAGAGGGGGACTGGCGGGAAAGTTCGTTTTGGACGTCACGTGGAGAGCAGGAGCCGTGAACGCGGTCGCGTCGGCGGAAGGCGGTGAGCGCGACAACTGTGTCTCGATGGCGCCGTGGAGGAGACAAGAGGGACCGGACAGAGAGACGTCTGCACCGCACCCCGGTCCATCGCAGGTTGCCACAAAAGTGAAGCCCCTCGGCCGGGGCCCCCACTGCGCCTGGGCCCACACAGCCCCGGCCAGGGGTCTGGATTTCACAGATGACACTCAGCGACCCCAAAAGTCACTCAAACTTGAAAGTGTTTCTGGGGCACGAGACCAAATGCTGGGAGGACCCGCCCTGGGTGTCACTGATGACTCAGTTGTCCCGGCAACGACCACCCCCGGGGGCTGCAGCGCGTAGAGCTCCACATCGCCCGGCAATTCAGCCCCAAGAGGGACTTGCGTGTCCAGAGCCACCTGTCCAGGGTCCCTGCCTGGCCAAGGGTCCCGAGTGTTCCCGGGCTGAATTCTGCCCGACCAGCCTCCCCACGAGGGAAAGGCCCGGCTTTTAAGCAAAGGCAGGCAGGGAGCCCCTCCCCTCCCCAGCCCTCCCCGGCCCCTCCTCCCTTCTCAGCTGGGTCTCCGTGGGGCAGCCCGTGACCGGTACTTCCCCCCAGGCTGCCCTCTGCGAAGGCCCGCCGGGGCTGCCACGGCTCAGGCAGGGTCCTGGGTGGACCGGACGCCGCTGCAGCCCTCGCTTTACGGGTGAGGAGACTGAGGCACAAGCAGGCTCAGCGTCACCAAGGTCGTCCCAGACGCCATGGGGGAGGGGCCCGGGCCGACCTTCCCAAGGCCACCGGGCCTGGGCCACACTGCAAGGGGTCGGGGGCCAGGCCTGGCAGTTCTCACGAGGACAGGACATGTCCCTCTAGCTTCCCCATAGGTAACTTCCTTTGTGCCGGACACTCGAGTCACGGCAAAGCCAGGGACAAGCCGGAGCCCAGCGCCCGGGAGCGGCGTCCACGGGGCAGGACCCACCCCGGGCCCGGTGAACCCCAGACCCGCGCTGGCCTCACGTCACAGCGACAAGGACGGGGACGCTGCGCCTTGGCCTGGGTCGGCGCTTGCAGGAGGGCCGGCGGTGCTCAGCCGGCGACGCGTGGGCCTGCATTCTGGGGCCTGGTTTCAATCGAGACCTCGTCACTTGGCTCTGAAAACCTCTGCAAGTAGGAGGAGTGGCGCCCGGCGAGTATTTTTACGCAGAAATATGAGAGCTATTCCACCGACGCGGCGTAAAATCGCTTCTATAAACCGAGGCGAAGGCAGACGGGGTGCGTGCCAGGCCCCCCGACCCCCTCAGGGCTGGACCAAGTTGGCGCCCCGCAGAGGCGCTGAGGCTCCCGCAGCCCTCGGGCTGTAGCTCGACCGTGGGGGAGGAAGCGGGGCCCCCCGCCCCCACCCCTGCTGCCCGGGACGGCCCTTCCTGGCCTGCTGTGCGGGAAACAGCTCATGAGTTCGGTCCTTCACGGCTTTTTCAGGCCCGTGTTTGCGCAGAGCCGGCCTCCTCTGCAAGGCAGACCCACCGCGGCCCTGGGGGCCTCCGGCCACCAGCCGGTCAAGCTTCTGGGCAGGGCGGGTGGGAAGGGGACTGGGCTCAGGCACCTGGAGGGGACACCTGGCCGCAGAGGGGTCCTCCCGAGGCCCCGAAAGGCCATCTCACTGCCACTTCCTCCCCACCTCAGCCGCGGACGACAGAACCTCAGGGAGAACGGGGCGCGGGGACCGGCCGGGAACGCTGCGCAGAGAGGGGCCACCGCGGGCAATGACCAAGAGGGCTGGGAGGGCCACAGGGCCACATGGGGGGCTCGGAGTGACCAGGAGGGCGCGGGTGCTACCTGCCGAAACCACCTTCAGCCCTGTTGCCCGACAGGCAGCGAGGAGCCAGAGCCGGCCGAGCCCACACAGCCGTGCGGCCCGAGCGCCCTGGATGCAGATATGAGGAGGGCTTGGGCCTGGCTGGCGGGGCAGGACAGGGCACGGCCGGGTCACAGGGGCCTTGGGCTGGTGGGGGGCTGGGCCGCCCTGGGAAGGAGGAGCAGGGCAGGGAGGGGCTGGCCCTGCCCAGTGCCTGCTCCAGGGGTCCTGGCAGAAGGGCCTGGGCAGGTGGGAGGCGGCGAGGGGTTGAGGGGCAGCAGTGCGGGGAGCTGCGTGGGCTCCTGGCGGCACACGGGTGCAAGTCTGGAAGAGACAGGCGCTGCGGACGGCCGGACTGGGCGGCCCTGGGTGGGCTGCCGTCTTGGGGTCCCGGGGGGAGTGGCCTGTGTGGTGGGCGTGGCCGGGAGGAGTCGCGCTGGGACCTGGGTGCTCCAGGCAGAGGCGAGCGGGGCGAGGGCTGGCATGGGGGGCGTTTGTGATGAACGGGGACATCCCGTCAGCCTGCAACTCTCATCCGTGCTGTGGGAGGCGGCCGTGCTCCTGGCTCTGTAGCACCCCCCGCCCACCATGTCTCGGTTCTGGACGCCGCCCCACATCTCGGCTCGGCCCGTTTTGCCCCATGGCCGGGCGTGGTCCCAGCTGTGAGGCCGGGGGACCTCGGCTGTCAGCCGGGCCGCCCTGAAGGCCCAAACCCAAAGTGCCCGTGATCCTGTTCGGCAGGGACGTCTGTGGAGCCGCCTGCTCGTCCCGTCAGAGTCTAGAAGGTCTGGGGTGCGGGGCCGTGGTAGGGGAGACGACACGCTGCCGCCGCCAACCCCAGCCCCAGAGCGGTGCTCGGCTGAGCCGCCTCCGTGCGCACAACGCCCGCCAGGGCCGTCCCCCGTCCCCGAACTAGGACGCAAACCGCATCACAGTGCGCCGGGTTCCTCGTGGGCATTCGCTGTCACGGAACACACACCGCAGTGACTAAACTTTGGTTCAACTCCCCGGCTCAGCACCCAGCTCCCGGGAATAATTCCGGAACGATCTGTGGCAGACCCAGGCCGAGCGCGCTGCAGAAGTGCAGTTTCACCTGCCACTGCCTGGGCTGCGCCGGTGGTGGGGGGGGCCCCGCCCCCGCAACCAAAACAGCCCCCCCGGAAAAAACTGAACCGAACAACCAACAAAAACAACCCGAAAAACAAGCCAACGGCCCCCACAGAGCCTCGGGCGGAGGCCGCCTTGGAGGTTCCGCGGCGACAGTCGTGGTCAGGGGTCGTGTCCAGGCTGACCACAGGCCCTGTGCTCCCGAAGCTCGGCCCGTGGCCCGCAGACCCGGGAATCCAGTGGACCCTGTGGGTGCTGCGCCCCCAGCGCCCGCTCAGGGCGACACATGAAGGGACCCGAGCCACCCGGGCCGCCCCCAGGACTGCGCGTTGGGTTTGTGCGGTAGGGACAGCCACACGGCCGCCTGCCAGGACACCCAGGACCGCCAGCCCCCGCCTGCATGGTGACCCCCTAAGGGGGTCCTGCTCAGGCCTGGTTCTGGGGCACCCCTGTCACCCCCCACCCCTGACTGCCGCGCCCCACCAGCAACGGCCTGTGAACTGTGCTCACCGGGTTGGCTGTCGGGGGCGTCGTCCTGGCCGCAGAAAGCACCGGAATCCAGCGCGGGATCCAGGTGTTCCCCGGGCAGGGGCGAGTCAGCGCCGGCACCCTCCAGGGCAGCTCCGGGCGCCAGCATTCCCGTGGACAGGGGGTAAGGGATGCACTCGAAGCCACTGTGAAGGGAGGGGCAGGTTGGCTCTGTGCCCCCCCGACATGGGCTGGCGGCTGGAGGGGCAGGTGGCCCAGGCTCTGACCCTGGGACGCAGGGCTCTGGCCAGGTGCTGGGGGAGGCTGCAGGCTCCGTCCAGGGGTCACCGTCACCATCTCGGAAGCCAGAAGGGGCCGAGGCGGAGGCAGTGGACACTGAACCCGAGGGATTGGATTCCTCGGAAGAAACCTCGGCAGTTTCATAGCCAGGACCTGCCCCGGTGTGCGGCGAAAGGGGTGTGTGTGATCACACGAGCTCGCGACGGCTCCACAGGCAGCTTCGACCCGAAACACTTGGTCGAGGAGCCTCCACCCCTCACGCACGGGACGCTGCCGCCGTCTCTCCCCACAGATGCCGCGCGTGGGTCTGGGGCAGAAGACAGGGACTCGCCGCACGGGAGTCCACCTCTGAGTCCTAGAGCAGCCCCTGGCCTTGGACAGGCCGCTTGGCGCTGGGCCTGGGTGAGGCCTGTCACACGCGCTTTACAGAACAGCGGGGTGGTGAAGGTCGGTGAGCTCGTGGGAGACACCACCGCCTATGCCACAGCTCAGTCCTGGAGTCTGTGAC